ACTCGCGGATAAGTTGCGGTGCAGATCATTTCACGGTTCTTATTACTGAGCTGTTGCTTTACTCATTTTTAATTTGTCTAAATGACGCTTTCGAGTAAATGTTACAGAAAATATAAAAACACAGGAAGGGGAATACATGTTTTCCTATAGTTGTACAATCGATTAGTAATATATCTACATATTATTGGGTCATCCGACACTCTAAACATTTGGCATTTCAGTTGCTGCTTGTTTTCATCTCATTAATTTATAAGAGTATCGCATAATGCTAGAGGCGTGAGGGCTTGGGAGGTTTGGACCACAAAGCGGTTGGGGGGTTTACCCCCTGGCACGCCCCTCGACCAAACTAGGGGGTTATCAAACTAGGGAGTTTGATTATTGTTTATTCATGGAACAGTCTTGAGGACCTATTTTGATTGAAAAAAACCCTTATGTCCCTTTTTCTGAGCCTAATCTAATTTCCGAGTCCGCGAGAACAGTAGCAGTCCGTCTTGACCTTGCGTTTAAGTCACCGAGGAAAACTGAGGAAACGAGAATTCTATAGCACGGGCCCTGAACCGTCCCACGAAAGATTTACTCTCAAAATTGCCGTTACTGATCGACTTTTCTCGCTTTAGTTCGTCGAATTTTGAGTAAATGTATCAGCTGTCAATTAATTTCGCGACTTTAATGCCCTCGTCATTTCGTACGTAATTACGCCTGTGGACGTGGGGGCTGCGCTGTAGTTGTGCTACCGTGCTGAGGAAAAACGCCGTATGAACCCTCAGGCGTTGCCAAATATCCTTTAATAAAACACGAATTTCCTGGTAAACATGTGAATATTTTCCCTCCAATTTTTCATATAATTATGCTCGCAATTTCACCTCAAGTTCCTGAAAATCTCGAGGAAAAATCTTCATAACTTGCCTCGAAAATAAACATTTTATCGAAGGAAATTTGGCAACTCCCGAATATTCATACGGCGTTCTTCCTTAGCACGGCAGTGTGAGAGTCGGATGCCGAATGACATCATGCGGCCCGGCGCACAGTGGATCAGGTCAATTAGAAAGGTCGGACATGATTTTTTTTTACTAAAACTGCAACTTTCGATGTTCATTCCGTCACATTTCAAATTTTAAGGTGTGCTTTAAGAAGAAAATTGCACGGGAAAACCAATGGAACCACTTGAAGAACCTCAAAGTTTTGTATGAACGGAGTTATAAGCGTTTAAAGTTTCCAAATTGTGTCCAACCTCTCCTGATCCACTGTGCGGCGGCGCGACGTCTCGCAGTGTGTGTGCCGTGCCGTAGACGTTTCCGCAAGACGTCCCCCATCCGCC